AACTCCCTAGTCCTCCCAGCCACTGAGGAGCTGTGCTCTCACACCCCATCAACTCCCTAGTCCTCCCAGCCGCTGCACCTCGGAAGTAGGGCAGTGGGTGGGGGAGCACTGTCCCACATAACCCTTTTTTAGAGATGGATACAGCAACCTAGGGCCCCAGAGCCAGGCTGGAACCGGGATACCAGCCTCCAGGCCCCAGGCCTGCGTCATATCTCAGTGCCCTTTGATGAGGCCACCAGGACAAGTGCTGGCATGCTACACAGATGGGGACAGTCTCCTCAGGGTTGAAGATAGGAAGGCCAACCACTTCTCCATCCAGCTCTGCCCTGGACATAATGGTAACCTTGGCACATCTGAGATCATCAAGCTGTTCTAGATGCCGTGAGAGACTGGTGGTCCTCCACACCCCAGGTGAGCCCTTCACTAAACCTATGTCCAAGGGGCTGGGCCAGACCTGGTGGGAGAGAAAACTGCAACTGTCCCGCTGGGATTAATTACCCTTTTATTAGCACAAATTACACCAACCCAGGAGTCCAGGGCCCAGGTTAAGGGGCAACGCCCCCAGGCTGGCGTGCCCCAAACTTCCTGAGCAAATCCAGAGGGCCTGATGGTTGTGAGGGTCCCAGAAGGCCTTTTCCTTCCAATTGAAAGGGACAGATCCGGGCGTAGGTTGGAGAACCGCCTTGGGGACATGTGGAGGCGGCCTGAGGCCTCGGAGCTCTGGTACCCCACTGGCCAGTTGCAGCTCACTTTTCAAAGTAGGGCAGGTAGAAGAATTGGAAGCCCCGGTGGCCCTTGACAGCGCAGTAGATGAAGATCACGTGGTAAACTGAGGGGCGGTGTCTGTCAGTAAGTGAATCTGGCTCCTCCCCACCCATGCCCCGCCCCACCTCACGTCGCTCTCTCACCTCCCGGGACTAGCAGCAGGAAGCCTGGCACGAAGATGATGGCGCTGGAGACACCTGAAGCAGGAAGAAACGGACAGCTCAGGACTAGGGGTCCCTAGGGGCGATGGCTGCCCGGGAAGGCCTCCCTTTCTCCTGGAAGGTGGCTGATTCGTGCTAGAAGTTGGGAGGGTTTGCCTAGGACCCAGGCAGGAGGGGCGCTCACCTGGAGAGGGGGCCACCTCCAGTCCCACGCCGACCAGGATAAGCACTGTACACACATGAGGTT